ACGGTTGCGGAATATAAAGGTATCTTTCCTGCACTGACAAGGGGTAATACCTCGAAACCGCGGTCTGCAGGTGATCTATTTAAATAATTTCAGCATGGTCCTGCTGCTGGATGAACACCTGCGAGACTAGCCTCTGTAAGGAATCTTGCATAAATTTATGTCAGATATAATTCAATATCCAGCGTGTTATTAGCCGGGGAAGTAGTTGTTTATGGACAGACGTTTACCCCACCCTACTGTGTAGGTAGTTGGAAGAGATCATTATTTTGGTAACCGTTTGGTTATTTCAACACCAAACTGTTATTTTAACATATCGACACGTGTTTCGATCACCAAGTGATCATCTTCAAGAAGAAGAATAAACTCAGTTTGATCATTATCTTTGAAGATGATCACTTGGTGATCGAAACACATGTCGAGGTGTTAAAATAACGATTTGGTGTTTGGAAAAAGCTGCAGTAATATTCGGACTTCCACTGTTCAATATTGTATAAAATGATTTGAAAAGAACCAGTGCAAATGGAAAATTAAAAAGAATAGCTGAAAATAACAATTATATCAGAAAAACCCTGGAATGAAAAATCAATGAAATAAAATACAAGTAAGAAAAGGAACAATTAAACAAAAAATAAAAAAGTTAGAGATTCAAAGCCAAGTAACTTCACGATTTCGATTTTTAGTATCCACAATCGTCTTTTTGTTTAATTGTTCTATTTTTCACTTGCATTTCATTTCACTGTTATTTCATTTCAGGGTTATTTTGCTTAATATAATCGTTATTTTTGTTACTCTTTTTAATTTTCCATTTGTATTGGTTCTTTTTGTGATTTCAAATCATTTTATATAATATTAACTAATGGAAATCCGAACTTGTGAAATTCAAAAGTATTATTGTTATTTCTGCAGTTATATTGTCAATATTCATATTTACTGTCACTCCATACACAACATAACAGATTATTCGTGAATTACAAAAGTGAGTAATTAAAAAACCGAGATCAATCACTTTAATTTTGACTCTAACCACAAACTCTTCACTTCAATTTGGTATTAGGTATTGAAAAGAAAAGTATTGGCTCCGTTGTATTAGGTAACCCTTGCAATGGAAAGAAGTGATATGTACTTAACTTTCTCCATAATCAAAAACCTCCAGTTTTGTTTTTGAAGTACAGAAAATATTGAAATGTGAATTTTTAAACGATTCCAAGTATAATATCAATGTTTAAGATGATAACATTACACAGAAGATAAAGATGGCTTAAAAAAATCAGAAATATCAAAATCACTTGGTACTAGAATTTTCAGATTCTATTATGGTTCAATGGCAACTTCAAAGTCAACTCGGAATCAACGTGAAATTATAATATCAAGTATTGTAGACGCTGAGAATACAACAGTTGAAACCTGTTATTATAATCATGAGAAACAGAACTTGTAGCCATCATTAATCATTTATTCCACCAACAAAAACAAAAGAGATTGGATTGAAATGAGCGTGTATGTATCACTAATATATCGTGATTATTGGAATAAGTATATCATCTAATGAACTTTCTAGACAACTTTGTGTATGAATTAATTTCACTATTGGACCTGAGAAGAAACTACTTCTTGTTATAAAAAATGTATGATTAGTACATACGTCGATGAACTGTTTGCTACTCGAAATTGCTTTTGTAGTTATGCTATTTTTATATGTACGAGTTGCTGAAAGAAGTGTCCTACAAAGGAAGAATACAATATAAATCAAAAATGTTTTATGAATATTTGTGGTGTTCATCATTGCTTTTTGTTCAAATCCCTGTAAAAATAATATGAAAATATAGTGAAAACACTTTCTTTTCATCGTGGTTTGACCGACTATATTTGATATCTTGGCCAATATTTATTATGTTTCTCGAACTTGATAATTCATTTCGTTATTGGAATTCTCGTATTATCTGGAAAATTGAGGCTTGGTTGAATAAATACAGCAAATAATTACCTACAAATATACAAAAAACATGTCTCTGGCTGATTTGCAGCACTTGAAGAATACCGTAGTGATTTTTTTTTAAAGTTTTATGACTATCTACTTCTCTCTAAAAAATGTGGCAAACTTCGAAAAGAAGGGAGAAATGAAAAAAGTAAAGAAATATGTTAAACGGTTTCATTGAAAAAAAAAGATAATAATGATGTAGATAATGTACTAAGAGCTAAAAAATAATACGGAAGGTCCTAGGTAGCGATCGCTACACCAATCTCCTTCGCAATCTACGGTATTGATCAGATAAAAAAATAATAAAATATTGGGCGTAATATTTACAAATTTATTCAGGTTACGCTACGACCAACGAGGACCTTTCACATCATTATTATATTTATTTTTTTTTTAAACCGTTCGACATGAAATTTTTTTGAAACTCTTAACAAAACTCTTTAAAATAACTACAATAAAAACTGTTTCAAATATATGTGGGCATACACAGAAGTTTCTTTCAGATATGAGTTGGCAGAAAAAACCTTTCAGAAACAACTATTCTCACACGATCATTAAATTATACAAAAAGAAAAAATCGTTTCGAAACAATTACTTTTATATGAACATTGAATTACACCAAAAATAAAGGTTTCCTATCTGTATAAGTTTGTATAAATTTGAAAATGTCCGTATAGGACGGAACTGCAGTAACGTTAGTTACAAATAAAAGTGGTAAAAACATAGAGAGCTCAATTTCTTTTTTCTTTATTATGATTTCCTACCACGTGGCTACATCCATCAATTTATTGTTTCCTATCCAGTTTGTTCTCCAAACATTCGTTATGGAATTGAAACAGATATCATTTTTGAAAATTCTAAACAATATGACATATGAAAGAGTATTGAGATAAAATGCCATCTACATAGAACACTATCATCCTCAGTCGAATACTTCGAAGTTTCGGGACACTGCACTTGATAACATTACATGCTGTATTGTTACGAAAGAAGTTAGCACTTCTTTGATTACAAAGGTGTAATTTTATGATAGAAATAAGTGTTTCGTCTTGTAATTATGATGCACTGTTTCGAACCTTTGGTGTAGTAATGAATATTACTGGAGTTTTTTTTTTCCAACACCAAATCGCTATTTTTAATACTTCGACACGTGTTTCGATCACCAAGTGATCATCTTCAAGAGAAAGATTAAACTAGAAACTATCGCGAAGCTAACGCTATTTTGCTATATAGATATACCCTACAGGTAAACCCTACAGCTGTACCTCCCATACAGGTATACCCTGTACCCCAGGTATAGGTTTCTAGTTTGATCTTCCTCTAGAAGATGATCACTTGGTGATCGAAACACGTGTCGAGGTGTTAAAAAAAGCGATTTGGTGTTGGGAAAAAAAACTCTAGTAATATTTGTCTTGTAATGTTTTTCAAAAAGAAGCTGATACGCAAAATAAGTGTTTCGTCTAGGAACTTTGAAGTGCACTATTGATAGCTTTTCCCTCTTTCTTTGGAAGTTTTCTACATTTTCTGTTTAAGGATGGAGAAGTATATATAGAAAGCAATTTGTTTCCTTGTCAGTGAAAGAAAACAATAAGGAATTATGAAGTGGAGACCGTTTTGTGAATTAGATTACATTAGGACCTTCATTATTATTGATTTGTTTTGAATGAAGAGTCGAAACATTGATGTTGCTCTCTTTCCTTCAGTCGTAAACAAATTTTTATTTTGAATTTAGGAATCATAATGGGTACATTCATCGACTAGGAAATCCTTTGATGTTTTTTGACTGTTACTGAAAATCTTGTTGCATACTATTATTATTATTTAACCAAATGAATCAGTTGCCGTTTCAATCTACAGAGTTACTTGATATCTGTATCCAGACTGAATATTTGACATTTTCTGTTATAGTAAATTCCACAGGGTGTTCATACCGCTACAGTAAACAATAGGTAACCACTGGGTAAATATTTAGTTCATGAAAGATCTTTATGCACAAAAATTTCAATTATGAATCCTACTCGTGGAAATTTCATCACTAGATTGGCTAAATTTTTGCTCTTTATCGATAACGGCTGCTAATTGTCAAATAAATCTATTGTGATAAAATGTATTTATGTTCTTGGACGACATTTTATTGAATATATTCCATTTTTAATGTTGTATTGTGAAATTGTACAGTTAATATTTGTGAACATTAAGTCAGAGGCGAAAAGGACGTAGGTATGTGGAAGAAGAGTCTTAAAAAACCAATTTTTCACACAATATTTGGTATATTTTATGCTAGAGGGTGGTATATAAATGTATGTGTTTTAAACATTTCTTCATTTGGAGATAAAAAATATGTGACTTTTCATTGTAGTGGAGGGTTGTGTGTGTCTGGTGGAAAAATACTCACCCTCATGTTATGAAATCAAATAATATGGTATAATATGAAAATTAGAGTGAAACCAACCGGAGTTGTATATTTTAATTGGCAACCGCCAATTCGAGCAATATGAAAATATGAAAACGCATGAAATAGTATCTGATACTTACGCCCCTCCAGGCTATCCCCGAGGCGCGCGTCGTCAATCGTCGAGACGCCTGTCGTCCCTCTGTATTTAACGGCGCAGAGCGGTGGTATCGCTGCATTCCTGTCTCTCCTTCAATCTGTTATTATCCATGACCATATAATTTGTTCGACTGATCTTCGAGATCCTCGGAAAATCAAAAAGCCCGCGTTCGTCTCCAAATTAGCATGAATTAGCCCGCGAATTAACATAATAACCTCGGCGGTCATAGTGATTTCAGGATTGAAATGCATTCGTTGGGATCAGGTATTTTTTACAGAATTTTTACCTGCCAGACAGGTCGTCATGCGAACATAGCGCCCGCCTCTTTGTGACCAGAGCCGGCCCACAAAGCTGCTCGCGCCGCGCCGCGATTGGCCCTGCCCCGGCCACGTGACCACCTATCGTCCTCCTCAATGAGAAAGAAACAAAAACAACCGTCACTAACAGTAACTACGATCGGACACGTAACAATCGTTTCCTATTTCTCGTGGAGGATCGCTTGAATTTCGCGGTTTTCCACACGTTTCCCGCGGCCGCCTCCAGGACCTAGTGCTCGCCGGATACTGTGCGTTGCAGGACCTAGTGTTCGCCGGATGTTGTGATGTTGAGTGCCACGAGGACTGCTTCCGGTAAATGAGAATCAAGCACCAGATCCGGATGCCGACGGGACACCTGGAGGAAGACGAGTTCGTAGCTGTGAAGACGAGGTCCAACACTCCGGAAGGTGCTGCGGCCGGCGGGAGTGGGACCTTCTGGTTGTCCCAGCCTCTCGAAGGCTGCAATGAGACCGGGTTCATCAACAGCCAGCCTTCGATGGCCGATTTCATGACCGCGTTGCCGCATCTTTCTGGGGAACTTCCCCATGGGCCGCCGATGAGTCCGCAGCACACTCCGCCAGCCGGGGGGTTTCCCATGGACGTGCCGCACGGGATGGGGTCACCCGGGGTTAATGTTCCGGAGTATCCTTGGATGAAGGAGAAGAAAACTACGAGGAAGAACAGCCAACAAGGTAATGACTAGTTTCTTATACGTTCCGGAAATGAATTCATAAAAATTTTGCGCAATACTTCTTTGTGACATTAAAACAAAAAACAAAAATGTATATATTCGTGAACTGAAAATAAAAACCGTTACAAATGTACCATTCTCCTAACCCTCAAATATTTTAAAGTGAGTGCTGTCAGTCCAAACTGTTTTTCCCTCAGAAGTCGAAACTTGTGCGAGCTAAAGATCAACGAGGTCTTACCTTTTAACGTGTGATTCGTAACAGAGTCAGAAATGTCAATATTATTGTTGAAATATGTATGTCCTTCTTGAAGAAATGCAAACTTTTGAGATTGAAAAATTTATCTACAATTCCCCAGTTCTACATATTATCTTTGCATCAAACAATTCAATAAAAACTTCTTGTTAGCACCTCTCACAAGTTTGTTCGATTGATGACCTATTCATTTTGTAGAAATTTATATTGAATATAGGATAAAGAAGATAACTTTTGTTTGATTTCTACTGAGTTTTGTATTTGTTACGAAGGGTTTCACTTTGTTAAACCATTCTCAAGTGAACTGATTCATTTTGTCATTAAATAAACAATGATACAGTCAGGTAGTTACAATAGGTACCCGAAATAACAAATGTTACCCGAATTCAGGTAACACATGTACTCGAACTAACAAATGTTACCTGAATTCAGGCAATATTTGTTATTTCATGTTCTTTAAACCATTCTCAAGTGAACTGATATGTTTTGACGAAACAAGTCTTTCAATATAAAATAATGCAGTCTGGTACCGGCAATAGATACCTCAAAAAACAAATGTTACCTGAATCAATCCACTTGAGAAACGTTTAACAAACCAAAAGTGGTCCTAACAAAAGAAAAACTCAGTAGAAACCAGAAAAAAGTTATTTTGTTTATCCTTTACTTCTCACAAGCATTGAAAATGCATCGACAAATATTGGAATATCATATTGCAGAAATTGGAGCAAAATTATTCAGTTTTCTCTAATTTGACGAACTCACAGTACTTATGATGCACTGTACTCACAGTAAAAATAATTGTAAATCATCTCTGAAAATGAATATTAGTAGCACATTATCACTGGATGGTTTTATTTCACTCTTCAGTCAGATTATTCCTCTTCACCATCAGAATATGTTTTTCAAAATATCTGTCTATTGAACTCAAAATTATATCATCAGATTATTATCTAATATTACGTAGATACTGATGTCAAATCGATGCAAATAATATATGGATTTCTCATATTATCTACTAGGTATATTAATTATATTTTCAGCATTTTGTGATTGTTTTCAGTTGTTTTATTGAAATTTATGTATCTCATAAACTGAGCTGAAAACAAAAAATAACAATACAAAACAAAGTACTGAATACAACCTGAATCTTCACGGTATTGGCCAATATCAAATTCATGTCTTTTTTCAAATGTGTTCTGTCAAAAAGTACTTGACATAAAATATTGAGGATTCAACAATCCGTTCAATAAAAATTATTTCAAATTGTATTCTTACCAGTAATTTTTCAAATATAGATTACTTCGTAAAAAAGCTCCTCCATCTAGCCAGAAACTTTTAAAATTTCTCCACAATTTTTGTATAAAGTGGAAACCCAAGAAACTTTTCTTCAACCGTTATTATAAAAACAACAGTTTTTCTACGAATACCGTTTGACTAACAACGTAGTATTCGATAGGCCAAAAACAGCTAATGATCCATGAAATTGTGTGTCTCGGGAAGATATCCTCTAAAGTATGTGCAGATAATTTTGAGCCCCAAATACTGTATAATGAAAAATCATTGAAATCTTTTTGAACCGTTAGTTAATTGCTCTGCTGTGTCACCAAATCTACTAAAAAACTGTGTACAAGTGCAGACAGATCAGAAATTTCTGATCGATATACGAATTCGTATGGAATATTTTACCAGATACTTGATAAAATAATAACAACCAATGGGGAAGAAGTTACTCGGCAAAGTAGCTAGGTCTGACTCCATCAGACTTTTTTCGAAATAGGTTGAAATGAGGCTTCATGTGACTTCTCCGCAGACGTTAGAAGAACTGAAGCAGAGATTTTTCAACTGAACTGCAATTAAATCTGTTTAAAATCTCAGCAAAACGACAACTCTCAGACGATGAGAAACTTGTGCGAGCTAAGAACTAAGGAGATCCCACCTTTTTACATGTGATTCCTAACACGGTAATTGATATAAATGATATATAATGTGTAAAATTGATGATGATATTGAATACTCATCAATATGTAGATGGAATATCGTTGGACTTGGGATACAAGGCAAATAGAGGAACCGGAAGCTGAAAAATGTACTGAGTCGAAGCCCAGCTTTTCTAAAGACCACTGTGGCGATAGTCTTCAGACCCGCCCGACCGTGGTCTATTGCCAAGCCAAGATTCAACATCGAACATCTAGTTGCCTCACAACTTCCACTACAAGGCACATATATGAATCCGAAGCTGAAAAACATACGATGTCGAAGCCTAGTTTTTCTAAAGACCACCGTGGCGGTGGTCTTTAGAACCACCCGACGGTGGTCTATTGCCAAGCCAAGATCCAACATCGAATATATAGTTGCCTTAAAACTTCCACTACAAGGCAAATATATGAACCCGAAGCTGAAAAACATACGATGTCGAAGCCTAGTTTTTCTAAAGACCACCGTGGCGGTGGTCTTCAGAACCACCCGACGGTGGTCTATTGTCAAGCCAAGATCCAACATCGAATATATAGTTGCCTTAAAACTTCCACTACAAGGCAAATATATGAACCCGAAGCTGAAAAACATATGATGTCGAAGCCTAGTTTTTCTAAAGACCACCGTGGCGGTGGTCTTTAGAACCACCCGACGGTGGTCTATTGCCAAGCTAAGATCCAACATCAAATATCTAGTTGCCTTATAACTTCCACTACAAGGCAAATAGATGAACCCGAAGCTGAAAAATGTACGAAGTCGAAGCCTAGCTTTTCTAAGGACCACCGTGGCGGATCTTATCTTCAACAAAAACTGTTTACGTTTTCTGTCGATTCTATTTTCACTCACAGTGAGACTTGTCCTTCAAGGTCAAACAATGAAATCGTGGTCGAGCCTAACACCACTGATGAGAAATATGATAGGTTACGAAATTTTGAAAGTCTAATTTTGCGGTATTATATAAACATCAACTATCAAAATTTACTACACAAAATACAGGTCCATATTTATAATTCACACTTGAGGGTGCTCCAAGTCTGGCGACACCCTGTATAAAAGTTCTATGATCATATTTTAATGGTGCAATGGAAAATCTTACGACAGGGTGTGAAAAAATTTTCAATATCTATGCGAAAAGGTAAAGAAAAATAGGGAAAATACAGAATTTTTAAGTTTTCGATTTATCCCATATAGCTCCAGAACTGAAAGGCCGCAGTTTTTTTTTATATCAAAATTCAGTACCAATAGTTTTCCCCAAATTACATCTTCCACCGTTTATGAGATCTCCATAGATAGACCTGAATTTGACTAGCTCTGTAGAAATTAACAGCTATCAGGATTTTTTTAGCTCGTGGACTTTGGAAAAAATAATGGATTCTATATCAAAGTAGAATTTGTTAAACAGACTGCAACAAGATTCAAAATGGAAAAGTAAATGAGTTGAACGTGTAAATAAAATTGCACATTTGGAAACAAGCAAGGCAAACTGCAAACATTCTTGTTCCGTCACCAGAACGGATAATAGAAAAACTGGATCCATCATTTCACAGATGCGTTAATATCACATAGTTGAGTTGTATGGTGTTTGAGCAAACCGTCTCCTGTGAAATTATAAGATTATTTGAACCGGAGAAGTACAGGAAGGAGAACGAATGACAATGATCCATTTAAAATGGCGAAAACGTGGGGAAACCGAAAATATATCCCAAGACTCACGATTTCATATAGATATTTGGGATAAATATTTTTATTACAAGTAATTCACTATAAAAATTCTTTCAAACAAATTATATTGAATGGGATGTTCAATATAACTTTTTTATAAAACAGAATATTTGATTTATATCAAATATGGGAAAATTTGGGAATATGAACTGGTGACATGAACTTTATCCATACCTATATCTTTGGTGTAACCTGTTGAACAAAATTATAAAAATTCATAACAAGTTTTATACTTCATTCAATAATTTTATCTTTATTTGAACATTTTTTACCTCATGCATTGATTTACTTATGTAAAAACACTTCTTGTTTCTTAAACGTACACAAATACCTGTCTATTGCAATAAATGTCCAGGACATAAAATCCGACGAACAACTTTTCTGTCTCGGGAAGATTCATCTCTTCCCGAGATAGTCATGTTGAATTATGGACAGATATGATAAAGGATATATCAAAGATGATTTCATTAACGCGCCTTTTCTCCCGCGGCCGGCGCCCCAGTTGAAATATTCAAAAATTCTTCCTTATCACAAATCTAACAAATGAAACGAACCTATATATAAAATTTCAGCTGCCGAAAATATAGCGGTTCGGAGAAATAGTGATAAAAAGGTAATTTTTTATGTAAACGCCTCCCTTTTACCCCCACGGAAGGCTCCCCAGTTGGAATATCAGAAAAGTCCTTCCTAAGTGCGCGTCTAAGACCTAAGCAGCACCTATATACCTGTTTTTCCGTACTCACCAGTACGGAAAAACAGAGATGAATGTGTGAGTAGTAGGTGAGTGATTTTCGCATTTAACAATATAGATTTGGTGTGTTAAAAGTTGCTGAGAGACGGCGGAAACTTGACCAGATGTTGACAGAAACAGCACGTATTCATTTCAAAATAAAAATTTATTCAGTCCCAGTGACAATAGGTGTAGCTAAAATTTCCTTTTTTTGGTGAATCGGCAAGAAATTCAATAATTGGTGGAGTTGCAAGTACAAACAACAATTTGAAGCTGGAAGATGTTGGAGTACTTTTGAAATATGGTGAAGTCCGATGATGAA